CTTACAGTTTTCAGTTTATGTTTCAGGTACTCCGGTTTTCAAATGGAAGAGCTCGGGATGATTGCAGAGCACACAACACATGTTTTCGCTTTCTATGAATTACTTTGGTTGAATGATGTTTTGCTAAATATTGGTTACTCTGGTTTTATGGAAACAGTTTGTATTAATGATTTATTAATCTAAAAATAAAAAATTTTATGTCCTGTTTTTCGGGATGTTACACCAAGCCTTTGATTTGTGTGTTGGAAATAAAGGGAAACGTTATATATCGGGCTTCTTGCATGGATTATGGTTTCAATTCAACATGTGTTAAGGCAAAGATAACTAGATAGGATTTGGGGGATCATTAATACCTTTCTGTGCATATAAAGAATGCCGAAAACGGAGTTCAAACGAAGAAGTTATGGTTGTTTAAAGTTGAATGGGAAGTTGGTGGTTTTATCCGACGCAGGGCATAGGAAAGTTATGTAGGGCGTAGGAAAGTTACGCAGGGAGTAAATGCTGAATTATGGAAGCGGGTTTAACAACCTACATATAGCGTAGGTTATGCTATGCAGGGCATAATCGCTACAGATCCAAACAATAATTCTTTGGTTTTCAGCCCTATTTAATGGCTCTAACCTCTGGGAAACCCTCTCATGACCTGCCTCCATCACCTAAGATCACTCCTTAAGAAATCCTAGCCTCCTCTTACTTGTTTTGAGACTTGGCATCATTTATGAGCTTATTTCTCCATTAAAAGGTGGAATCTTGAATAACAAGGTGGTGGCAAAGTGTATAGAAGAAGGATTCAAGTATAGATCCAACAAGTTTATTTCATTACTGGACCATTGTGAGTAAAAATCTTCGAACTTGCTCATTTGATTTCATAGATCTTGTTAATTGTCATATTTTCACTTTTTGGTCCTTTAAACTTGTGTTTTGGGAGTTGATGCAACTCCAACACCTTTTGAGCTATATGGAACACTTATGAGACTTGTTGTACTTGGAAAGTTATGCTTTGATGCTTGTTCATTAATCCATGCATGTGGTGTTATCATTTTTGGTCATTTTAGTGCATAAAGTTTAGATCTTTCTTGATGGGAGTGCCTTAATGGGTAAAGTTGGAAACTTTATCCATTAAGACACTATAGAGGTCCATATTTGAAAATTTGAAGGGTTGAATTTATGTATTAAGAGCTTAATGGAAAAGTTGGACATCAGGCGCTACGTGGGGCGTAATTTTCCCTACGCAGGGTGTAGCCTCGATTTTTCCTGTTTTTTCCACCCTATGCTCTATGCGGTGCTTAGAGTTAAATGCTACACGGGGCATAGGTTAACCGAGCTTGACCGTTGAATTTTGATCGTTGACCGTTGAATTTGAACAAGTTTAACTTTAGGTCAAATTGAGGATTTTGGGTTGTAGATTGAGACTGGGTTCCTGTTTGTTGTATAGGTGTCTTGGAGAGCTGATTATTGGATCTGTGAACATCACTGTTATCTTCTAGACTGCAAGGTGAGTCTCTTCATTGTACTCGTGGGTCGAAGGTACCAATGTCGTCCCACTAGATTATGTTTGTAGGATGCTAGCTGTCTTTGTGACTCTTGCATGTGTTTATATGTTTTATATGGGCGGGCCCCGATTATATGGGTGGGTCCCGATTACATGGGCAGGCCCTAATTATGTATGTCTTATATGGGTGGGGCCCGATTATTTGGTCGGGGCCCGTTATATATCATTTTGGGCGGGCCCCGTTATGTAGTGGGTGGGGCCCATTATACAGTTTGGGTGGGGGCTATTTATATGTATGTTGTATGCAGTATTTTGGGGAACTCACTAAGTTTGTGCTTACGGTTTTATGGTTAACATATTTTCAGGAACTTCCAGTTTCAAAAGGAAGAGCCCGACTTGATCGCATTGCATCCCCTGTAAATTTATTCTGCAATGATTATTTATGATTTTACTCTCATGTTTTGAGAATACTTTTACTCGGATCGTCTTTTGGAACAAATGAATGAATGGTTTGATCGATTAAAAATGAAAGGTTTTCTACTATTTTTGGGACGTTACAACAACCTCACATAACCTACTATTGTATTGATTGGTTTTCCATCGGTCAATGATTTCTTATATGAAGATAACAATTAGTTCTCCTTTAACCTAATTTTAGGTAGACTGTACTAAGGTGTTCAACACATAATTTGAATGACTAACAATAATTTGAATGAGATATGGATTATATGAACGATGATGAGTTTAAAATAATGTTAACGTCATTGTTTGTCGCAAATAGTTGGTTATAGAGGACTTTAATCCTTACTTTTATGGAGCTTAATCACGCTTATTCTTTTTCATAATTTCAACCAATAAATTTCCAAAATTTTAGTGAAAGGGTAAAAAAGTTGAAATAAAAATAAAGACTTTTTCATAAATTGGGCCAAATAATGAGACTTTTCTGGAGGTAATATGGTAAAAAAAATAGTTTAATGGTAAAAGATGACTAATTTGAATTTTTTATCTGGTAATCAGGATTTTTTGTTAACAAAATAAAATTTTGGACTTTTGCCTAAACTGTATCAGAATATTGAGATTTTTTTGGAGGTAACATGGTAAATAATAGTTAGCGATAAAAAATTATTGATTTGAATTTTTTACCATGTAATTGAGATTTTTTTTGTTAACAAAATAAAATTTTAGACTTTTACCTAAACTGGACCAAAATCTTAAGATTTTTCTGAAAATTTTCCTAAATTTTAATATACTCCATACATCTCTCACTCTTGTTTCTTTATAAGTTTTGTTATTGAATATCAAATATGTTAAAAATAAATTTTAATGTCAATATGTAACATTCAATTCAGGTGAGTAATTGTCAAGTTTAAAATTCAAAGGTTTTAATCCTACTCACGAAGTGAGGTATGTATGTCACGTCGTGAGGAGGTTAGTGCAACCGCACACCATATTTGGGCTCATGACGTGAGCAAATATGACTCATGACGCGAGACCAACCTGAGAGGAAACCCTAATTTTGGGGGCTTTACTCCGTATTTAAAGGAAGTGAGGGCTAGGGTTAGACCACCATCAACCTTCATCACCTCCTTGCACTCCCCTTTGAAACCCTAGCACCCATATTTGATCTAGAGCTTGTCAGTGGTGATTCTAGTTAAAGAGAATAAGAGGAAGAGCATCTAGTTCATCTTTTCTGCATTGAAGTCTCTCCATCAAACATTCTCACACCTTCTGGACCTTTTGTGAGTTTCAAGTTCATTGCTTTATGAATCCATAAGCTTAGATCTAGGTTTTTATGCTTAATCCTTCATATTCTAGATGATGTAGTGGTTGAAATCCATAAAGTTGCCAACTTTATGGATCTCCAGTGTCCCTTGAGTAGTATATATGCTAGATCTGGAATATGATTAAGTTTTAAGACTCTTGCATAAAGATTTGGTGCCATTTCCTCTTTTGTGCCCTAGTTAGTGTTTGGGACATGCATTGGACATGCATGCCCAAAAAGCCACAATTTTTATGATGTTCTGAAGTAAATAAGACACTATATCGGATTTGGTTGCGTGGTCAAAAATGGATTACCAGTTTCATTAAGAACTTCTGATCAGAGCGTTCTTACGACGTGAGCACATGGTGTCACGACGTGAGGATGGTATTCCTCGACTGTTTTAACTTATTATGCCACGACGTGTCCATTAGGGGTCACGACGTGATTAGTGGATTGTGGGACTTTCAAGTGTGGATTGATTTTGACCTTGACCAGGGTTTGACTAAGTTTTGACCTAAGGGTATTTTGGGTATTTTGAGTTATATTTAAGATTGGTCACTATTTGATAAATATGTGACCGATAGAGCTGATATTCGGAGCAGTGTCCTGTTTAACGATCTTTTCAGACTAAGAGGTGAGTTTTCCTCACTGTACTTATGGGTTGAATGCACCAATACCGACCCGCTAGATTATGTATCCAGATATATAGGATGATGTTTATGCTGGTTATATGATAGATTGGTAGATCTGTATGATTACATGTATTTGCTTGATATGTGTTTATTTTTATCTGTTGTATATGTCGACATATTATGGTTGGGGTGATGCAGTCCTACTTTATGCTGAAGACCAAGACACCCGGGGCGGTCTGGATAGGCTGTAGGCCATGCAAGGCGGTCCGGTCAGACCGAAGACCCGGAGAGCGGTCTAGATAAGTTGTAGGCCCTGCGAGGCGGTCCAGTCAAGCTGGAGGAAAGCCCACTTATTTGGTCCATGTATATATATGTGTTACATGCCCTAATTTCTAAAACACACAAAAATTCTCAGCCGCCAAGAGCAATAGAGAGAGCAAAAAAAAGAGAGAAATCAAGGGTTTCTTCAATTTCCGTTTTTCTGGACACACCTTCAGTGTTCCTTCGTTTCCCGGAGATCCAAAGGTCCGTTTTCTTTCATTTTCGGACAGAAGCTTCCCAACATCGAGGCCTTCAGATCCAACGGTTGAATTGTCGAGATCAGCTCCAGAGACTCGGGAATCGTCGCTTCTGTTTGCCACTGGAAATCAGGAACGTTTTGGTGATATTCTTCTTTGTCTTTGCTTATTTGATTCCATATGCTTGATGTGATTTAGTTCCAAGTATATGAGGATTATTGTATGCCTCTAGTACATTTAGAGAAGACTTTGTATTGCTCTAATATTGGTGATAGTGGATTTGAAGCGGCTCTAGTAGTCCCGTGGTTTTACTCTCTTTTATATTGAGAGGTTTCCACGCTAAAATTCCGGTGTCTTTATTGGTTGATTACTTATTGTTTTGGGTTGATTATATTGATCATATAACTTGCATTGGGGCTGATTTGTTGCAAGTGAAATTATCCTATTTGTTTGCATCCTAAAAGGTTCATTCAAGACGGGAATAGTTTAGTCAAACGAAGTATTATTCCGTATTGTTATTTACCGTTGTGATTGCGTTTTTCCCATCAAATTGGTATCAGAGCTTGGTTCTTGTTATTAGGTTACTTTTTTGAACAATGGAAGCTAATACAAATAGGATTGTAAATTTGAATGGTTCTAATTATCAAGTTTGGAGAGGCAAGATGGAAGACCTTCTTTATGTGAAGGATTATTATATGCCTGTGTTTAATACTGAAAAACCCGATGATAAAACAGATGCAGAGTGGAATATTTTGCATAGAAAAGTTTGTGGGTATATTCGACAATGGGTTGATGATAATGTTTTGAACCATATTAGCGTGGAAACTCATGCTCGTACTTTGTGGAACAAGCTTGAGCAGTTGTATGCTCGGAAGTCCGGGAACAATAAATTGTTCCTGATTAAACAGTTGATTGGCTTGAAGTACAATGATGGAAATCCTATTAGTGATCATTTGAATTCTTTCCAGGGAATTATTAATCAGCTTGCAGGAATGGGTATCAAGTTTGAAGATGAGTTACAAGGTTTATGGCTCCTTGGCACTTTACCGGACTCTTGGGAAATTTTTGGGACATCCTTTTCCAACTCTGCACCAGATGGTATTATCACCATGGAATTGGCTAAAGGCGGTGTTTTAAATGAAGAGATGAGAAGAAAGTCACAAGGTTCCTCTTCACATTCAGATGTCTTGGTCACAGAAAGCAGGGGGAGAAGTCCAAGTAGAGGTCCGAATAACAAAGGGAAATATCGCAGTAAATCTAAAGGAAAGTTTGTTGACTATGAGTGCAATCATTGTGGTAGAAAAGGGCACACAATACAATTCTGCAGACAGCTGAAAAGGGAGAACAAGAAGACAAATTACAACAATCAAAAGAACAACCACAAGAAAGATGATGGTGGTAATGATACTGCTGAAGTTAACACTGCTACCGAAGAGTTTTTTATCTGTTGTGATTATGATATGGTCAATCTTGCACATGATGATTCGAGTTGGGTTGTTGACAGTGGTGCTACTTGTCATGTGACATCACAAAGGGATTTTTACACATCTTACACTCCTGGTGATTTTGGGAATGTTAAAATAGGTAATAATGGGTTATCAAAGATTGTTGGTGTCGGAGATATTTGTTTAAAGTTTGAGATTGGGATGGAGTTGGTTTTACACAATGTAAAACATGTTCCAGATATTAGACTTAGTTTGATCTCTGTTGGCTTATTTGATGATGGCGGTTACCATAGTACATTTGGTGGTGGCATTTGGAAACTCACTCGTGGTTCTTTGATTGTGGCAAGAGGTGAAAGAAGCTCAAAGTTATACATGACACATCCGAAGATCTCCAAAGAATCAATACATGCATCGATATATTGTGACATGACCGATTTGTGGCATAAGAGACTTGGTCACATGAGTGAAAAGGGGATGTCTTTGTTGTTGAAGAAAAATGTGTTGACCGGTGTGCATGATGTGAATTTGAAGAGATGTTCTCATTGTCTGGCAGGTAAGCAAAATAGAGTTTCCTTTAAGATCCATCCTCCTTCCAGGAAGGAGAATATACTTGATCTGGTACATTCCGATGTATGTGGTCCCATGAAGACTAGGACACTTGGGGGTTGCTTGTATTTTGTCACATTCATCGATGACTATTCAAGGAAGGTATGGGTTTATACTTTGAAGACTAAAGATCGAGTATTGGATGTGTTTAAGCAGTTTCATGCCTTGGTTGAGAGACAAACTGGGAAGAAATTGAAGTGTGTTCGGACAGATAATGGCGGTGAATACATTGGCCCTTTTGATGCTTATTGTAGAGAGCATGGTATTCGCCACTAAAAGACTCCTCTAAAGACACCACGGTTGAACGGTTTAGCAGAACGGATGAATAGAACATTGGGTGAAAGAGTTAGATGTTTGCTTTCACATGCATGATTGCCTGATTCTTTTTGGGTAGAAGCTTTGAATACGGCGGTACATGTTATTAATCTTACTCCTTGTGTTCCTTTGTCTTTTGATGTTCCTGACAGGGTTTGGAGTCGCAAAGATGTTTCGTATCGTCATTTACGAGTCTTTAGATGCAAGGCTTTTGTGCACATTCCTAAAGATGAAAGATCAAAGCTTGATGTGAAGACCAAACCATGTATATTTCTTGGTTATGGCCAAGATGAATTCGGTTATAGGTTATATGATCCAGTTCTGAAGAAACTCGTAAGGAGTCGTGATGTTGTATTTGTTTAAGATCAGAGTATAAAAGATATTAAGAAGACAAAGATAGTTCCTCAATCTACTATGATCGTGTTGATTTGGATCCGGTTCCCCCTCAACATTTTGAGCCAATTAATGAAGATGTTCAGAATGATGAACAACATGGTACTGATGACAATGATGTTCCAGAGCAGTCGGAGTTGGATGAGGATCTTCATCCAGAGTTGCCAGTACCTGATATACCACCATTTGTCCCACTTAGGCGGTCTACGAGAGATCGTCATCCTTCCACCCGTTATTCTGCCGATGAGTATGTTTTAGTCACTGATGGGGGAGAACCTGATTGTTATGCAGAAGCTATGGAAGATGAGCATAAAAGAGAGTGGGTTGAAGCTATGCAAGATGAGATGAATTCCTTGCATGAAAACAATACCTTTGAGTTGGTGAAGTTGCCTAAAGGCGAGAGAGATTTGAAGAACAAGTGGGTCTACAAAGTGAAGACTGAAGAACATACCTCACGGCCTAGGTACAAGGCTAGATTGGTGGTCAAAGGGTTCAGTCAAAGAAAGGGTATTGATTTTGATGAGATTTTCTCTCCGGTCGTGAAGATGGGTTCCATTCGGGTGATTCTTGGCTTGGCTGCTAGCCTTGATCTTGAGGTTGAGCAAATGGATGTCAAGACAGCTTTCCTTCACGGTGACTTGGACAAGGAAATTTATATGGAGCAACCTGAAGGTTTTCAGGTTAAAGGCAAAGAAGACTATGTGTGTAGGCTTCAGAAAAGTCTTTATGGGTTGAAGCAAGCACCAAGACAGCGGTACAAGAAATTTGAGTCAGTCATGGGTGAGCAAGGCTACCGCAAGACTACTTCAGATCACTGTGTTTTCTTCCAGAGGTTTGGTGATGATGATTTCATAATTTTATTGCTTTATATTGATGATATGTTAATTGTTGGCAAGAATGCAGAGAGAATTATTCAGCTGAAGAAACAATTGAGCAAGTCTTTTGCTATAAAAGACTTGGGGCCAGCAAAACAAATTCTTGGCATTTGGATTACTATAGATAGATTTTCAAAGAATTTGCATATGTCACAAGAGCAATACATTGAGAAGGTGCTTTGCAGATTCAACATGGGTAAAGCTAAAGTGGTTAGTTCACCTCTAACTACCAACTTTAAGGTGACTGATAGAGATTGCCCTTCTACTAAGAAGGAGAATGAAGAGATGGATAGATTTCCATATGCATCAGCCGTTGGAAGTTTGATGTATTCAATGGTGTGTACAAGGCCAGATATTGCCCATTCAGTTGGTGTTGTTAGTCGGTTTTTGTCAAATCCGGGAAAGAAGCATTGGGAAGCAGTTAAGTGGATTTTCAGATATCTACGTGGTACTTCCAAATTAGGTATAACATTTGGAAATGGAGCATCTATGCTTGTTGGTTATACAGATTCTGATATGGCAGGAAATAAGGACAACATGAAATCCACTTCTGGATATTTGATGACTTTTGCAGGGGGAGCTGTGTCATGGCAGTCAAGACTGCAAAAGCGTGTTGCCTTGTCCACAACTGAGGCTGAGTATATGACAGCAACAGAAGCATGCAAAGAGTTATTGTAGCTAAAAAGATTTATGCAAGAGCTTGGATTTATACAAAAACGCTACGTGGTTCTTTATGATAATCAAAGTGTCATTCACCTTGCTAAGAATTCTATGTTTCACAAAAGAACAAAGCATATCGATATGAGGTATCATTGGATTAGAGATGCTCTTGAAGACAAATTGTTTGAACTTGAAAAAGTTCATACTTATGATAATGGTTCCGATATGTTGACTAAACCTTTAGAAAGGGAGAAGTTGAAGATATGTTGCTCGATCGCCGGGATGGCGAACTCTTCCTCATAGGCCAAAAAGGGGGAGATTTGTTGGGTTTTCTATTGGGTTTTTTAGCCCATAAGGAAAGCCCACTTATTTGGCCCATGTATATATATGTGTTACATGCCCTAATTTCTAAAACACACAAAAATTCTCAGCCACCAAGAGCAATAGAGAGAGCAAAAAAGAGAGAAATCAAGGGTTTCTTCAATTTCCGTTTTTCTGGACACACCTTCAGTGTTCCTTCGTTTCCTGGAGATCCAAAGGTCCGTTTTCTTTCATTTTTGGATAGAAGCTTCCCAACATTGAGGCCTTCAGATCCAACGGTTGAATTGTCGAGATCAGCTCCAGAGACTCAGGAATCGTCGCTTCTGTTTGCTGCTAGAAATCAGAAACGTTTTGGTGATATTCTTCTTTGTCTTTGCTTATTTGATTCCATATGCTTGATGTAATTTAGTTCCAAGTATATGATGATTATTGTATGCCTCTAGTACATCTAGAGAAGACTTTGTATTGCTCTAATATTGGTGATAGTGGATTTGAAGCGGCTCTAGTAGTCCTGTGATTTTACTCTCTTTTATTGAGAGGTTTCCACGCTAAAATTCCGGTGTCTTTATTGGTTGATTACTTATTGTTTTGGGTTGATTATATTGATCATATAACTTGCATCAGGGCTGATATGTTGCAAGTGAAATTATCCTATTTGTTTGCATCCTAAAAGGTTCATTCAAGACGGGAATAGTTTAGTCAAACGAAGTATTATTCCGCATTGTTATTTACCGTTGTTGCTGCGTTTTTCCCATCAGTTATATGATAGATTGGTAGATCTGTATGATTACATGTATTTGCTTGATATGTGTTTATTTTTATCTGTTGTATATGTCGACATATTATGGTTGGGTTGATGCAGTCCTACTTTATGCTGAAGACCAAGACACACGGGGCGGTCTGGATAGGCTGTAGGCCATGCAAGGCAGTCCGGTCAGGCCGAAGACCCGGAGAGCGGTCTAGATAAGTTGTAGGCCCTGCGAGGCGGTCCAGTCAAGCTGGAGGCCCATATTTGCTTGTTGTTGTTTGTTATGTTGTATGGTGGTACTTTGGGGGAACTCACTAAGCTTTGACTTACGGTTTTAGCTTATTGTTTTAGGTACTTTAAAGGATCGTGGGAAAGCGAATGCGTGATCGTGCATATCTTCCTGTTTTTATGACAATGTATCTTTAGATATTCTGATTATGATTATACTTTTGAACAATGACCTTTTTGTAAACGCTTAATGGTTAATGGGTTGTTTTTGAAAAAAAATAAATTTCTATGATTTTTGGGATGTTACACAATAACTTAATAAATCTCTCACTCTTGTTTCTCTATAAGTTTTCTTATTAAATATGGGATATGTTAAAAATACATTTTAATGTCAATAACTCAATATATCTCTCACTCTTAATTCTTTAAAAGTTTTCTTATCAAATATCAAATATATTTAAAATAAATATTAATATCAATATCTCAATATATCTCACTCTTTTTTCTTTATAAGTTATCTTATATTAAATATCAAATATGTTAAAAATAAATTTTAATGTCATTAACTAAATATATCTCTCACTCTTATCTCTTAATAAATTTTCTTATTAAATATCAAATATATTAAAAATAATTTTTAGAACAAATTACTGAAATCGTCCCTATGGTTTACTGAAAATTGCGCGTTTGGTCCCTATGTTTTTTTTGCACTCGGACCGTCCTTATAGTTTGTTTTCATTGCGTTTTTCGTCCCTAACCAACATGAAAAGACCTTTTTACCCTTTATATTTATTTTTTCAGTTTTTTTGTTTTTTATTTATAAATTAAAAAAACTAAATTAAATATTTTATAGATATGTAGGACCCAATCTCACATTCATCCCACTCCCACTACCGGCTACCACCCAAACCACCGGCGACCACTATAATCCACCGGCAACCACCGGAATCCACCGACGACCTCCAAAAACCACCAAAATCCACCCACTCCCATCGTATTCAGAATAATCAAATCCACCACCATATTTATGTAAGAAACCTGGCCGCCACCACCATATGTGCCTCGAATCACCACAAATGTCATCGAACACCGTCGTCATCACTGGCATTGCAGCAGAGAATTGGCGATAGGGGAGTTCCAGATCTAGATTGGGTTCATACCACCAGTTAGCATCTTTCACCACTATCATCGATTTGGTTCCAAGAAATGATGAACAACCAACCAAATCAGGACGTTGGAGACACACCACATGCCACCACGTCTAGATCTATTTCCATCGTCGCCTCCTTAAAGTCACCACTACTTCCATTGACCACCTCCAAACAGATCTAGTCCAATAAGGCAATGAACAAGTAGATTTGGTGAAGAGATAAAGAAGATGGAATAGAAAGAACCGGCGATGGGGGCGACATCGATTTCCGGTGAGAGAGGGAGGTACAGAACCGGTAATAGCGGTTGCAAAGGTTTCCGTGAGAGATCGAAGTAGAGAGAAGCGTCGGGGAGAGAGAGTCGATGATGGTGGTGTTCTAGTGTTTCCGACAGTTGTCTGTTGGTTTCGACGGCGACCGGTGGTTCTGACGGTGAATGGTGGTTCCGGTGGTGGGGGATGGTTTCCAAAGCACATTCTACTGATCTGAGAGAGTGGAGAAATAAGGAATATGATAGGGTTAGGACTTAGAACATTAGGGTGTGGTTGGGTAGAAAGTGGGACCCATTTTAGTTCTTTAATTTATTTTTATTATTGGTTTATATTTTCTTAATAAAACTAAATAAAAAAAATATGAAAGGGCAAAAAGGTATTTTCATGTTGGTCAGGGACGATAAACGCAATGAAAACAAACTATAGGGACGGTCCAAGTGCAAAAAAAAACATAGGGACCAAACACGCAATTTTCAGTAAACCATAGGGACAATTTCATTAATTTGTTCTAAATTTTAATGTCAATAACTCAATATATCTCTCACTCTTTATAAGTTCTTTTATTAAATAATTTTTCCGTCCCAAAATTATTTTTCACAAACAAAAAAAACAAACAAAAAAAACAGATAGATAAAGAAACATTAATTACTACTAACTTTATTAAATGAAATGATAATTATATCATTTTATTGCATTTAATTCCATGATAGTTGTATTTAATATTATGATAATTTAACTAAACCAAATGACTTCTAGCTCAACAATATTTGGTGTTGCCCTTATTCTATGGGGTCGAGAGTTCAAGTCCTATTGTGAACATATGTGAATTTAAGGTGTAGTTTAAAAGTATGTTAGATTTGTCGTTTAAAAAAAATAGTTTAACTAATAATTAAGGATATTTTGGTAAAAATGATATTTATTTTTAAAAATAGATTATTATTTTAATGTGAAATAGAGAAAATATCAAATATGTTAAAAATAAATTTTAATGTCCATAACTCAATATATCTCTCATTCTTATTTCTTTATAAGTTTTCTTATTAAATATCATATATATATATATATATATATATATATATATATATATATATATATATATATATCTATATATATATATATATATATATATATATATTAAAAATAAATTTTAATGTCAATATCTCAATATATCTCCCACTTTTGTTTCTTACTCGACAATGCCAGGGTGGAACACTCAGCACTAACACCGATTGATTTTCTTTGAGGAATTTCGTCGAGCACTTTGATGGCGAGTAACAGAGACGAGCCTCTATCGTACTTGAACGCACCAACATCGTCTTCGGTGGGTGTGTCTGAGGGAGACAGTTCCCAGATTGGCAGTGCTTCTGGAAGTTTTCAGAACGAGGGATTCCTGGGCGCCTTTGACGGCGGTGATGAAGACTTCGGATTTTCTCGATCTGAGTTCCGGCAGAGCCTTCTTGTAGGAACTGTTAAGTACTACGAACGACATGTATTTTTGTGCTACAAGAAACCGCAAGTATGGCCTCCCCGCATCGAAGCCACTGAGTTTGATCGGTTGCCTAGGCTTTTGTCCGCCGCTCTAGCATCCAGGAAGTGTGACATGAAGAGACAGGTCGGTTTCCAGGGTTCACTTTACTGATCTATCTGTATTTTAGGGTTTCGCTCTCTGTTAACTTCGTTGCTATGATTAATGGCGTCCAGTTGCAACCATCGGTACAATCATTCAATTTCTATCTGTCATTTTATGTTGCAATTGATTCTGAATGTCACCGAGAGTTTCTTGAATAGTAAGCACTGTTCACCAGATACAGTGCTAGATTTTTTTCTGCTAAATGTAGCTGGTAATCGGTTATAAGCGTACTTAATGATTGAATTTGATTTGGTGATTTTACTTTCAAGTTTGTTATGCATTTAGGGTTCTAAAGAAAGCGTTTCCATGGTTATGTGGAGTCATAGTGATGACTGTTTATTTGTTCAACCTCGTCTCTCACTCATATTTCACAGACTCGTCTAACTATATGCGAGGGACATGATGGAACTGAGACATCAAATGGAGATGTATTAATCTTCCCTGACATGATCAGATACAGGTGATTTCATAACCTCCTTTTCTTCACTACAAATGATGATCAAAGTTATAACATTAAGTGATGACTGATGAGTGATGAATTGAACAAAATGCAGGAGACTGACACATTTCGATGTTGACACATTTGTGGAAGAAGTTCTTGTAAAAGATGGTGAATGGCTTCCTGGAAGCCCTGAGCCACTTCGAGGATCATACATTTTTGTATGTGCTCATGGTGCAAGGGACAAAAGATGTGGTGTTTGTGGGCCTGCACTTGTTTCTAGATTTAAGGATGAGATAGAATCGCGTGGTGATCAGGGTAAAGTGTCTGTTCGCCCTTGTTCACACATTGGGGGCCACAAGTATGCAGGAAATGTCATCATATTTGGTTCAAATAACCATGGGAAAGTCACAGGTCATTGGTAAGTATGCCTATGTTTCTTCTTTTCTATCTTGAAAAATCTAAAATTGTTATTACTTATGAATTGCATCTTTATTCTTTCACAGGTATGGATATGTTATGCCTGATGATGTTCCCACATTACTTGAACAACACATTGAGAAAGGTGAAATTGTAGATTCTCTTTGGAGGTAATTATGCCATATCTTGAGTTGTTTTCTGGAATGTTGGGGTAAAATGGTCATTTTAGTTTTATATAGATGGTCACAAGATGACAAAGACAAACCATAGCCAAGGGACAATGAAAATGTGATGACCATGTGAAGCTAGACATATCTGGATCACTGTTTATAAACTTTCTCATAAATAGCCAAAGTGATGTGAAAAGACAAAACATTTTCTACTTAATGATTAGGGTTTTGTTTTTTATGAATCAGGGGACAGATGGGTTTATCAGAAGAAGAGCAAATGAAAGCTCAAGAACAAAGGGTAATAGCAAACGGAGGTGGCAACATGGAAAGAAGCCTAAAAGATGCCGCCACCGCCAGTGATGAATCCAAGGTGGAGGATGGTGGTTGTTGCCAGGAAAACGGAAGCTCCGGTGGTTGTTGCCGGAGTTCTAACTCGCCGGAAAATGTGGTGGATTTTAATCTTGAGAAAAGAAAGGGAATCAAGAATCCGATTTCCATCAACATTGGTAACAAAGGAGGTTCTAGTACTAGTAGTAGTGGTAATAGTAGTTCACCACATAAGGTATGCACTATGCCAACATGGCTTGAAACATGGGAGAGTGAAGATGTGTATGCAGCTTTAGCTCTTATTGGTGCTGCTGTCTCAGTTGCTGTTGCCTATAACTGTTACAGACAGTTGGGGTAAAAGGTAATTGGAATTTGTAGTTTTGATGTGTGTTTGTGAAATATATATATATATATATATATGTTGTTTTTGCATATTGGTATTAGTTGAAAGATTGAATATGAGTGGTAGGTATCAAGGGTAGTAGTAATCTGTAAACGTATGATTGAGAATCAGGTGTTTTGTTCTTGATTCTTTTGCTGGTTTTGTGCCCTAGATTTTGTACACAACTTTGCACTGGTTTTGATTTGCAATATGAATAAACCTTGCTTGCATTGTATGTATTTGAACTTCAAATTTGAACCATATACACTTGGAATGGATGCTTTCATGTTGATTAATTGGAGTGTGAGGGGTGTTTGGTTTGTAGAATCCTTTTGGAAGAATATAAAATGTTATGGTAACTAGGGTGCACTCGGCTTGATGTTGGAGAAATATTTTGTACATGTAGAATAGGTAAGAGATCATTAACGGTAGATTGGTGTTAATTATGGTAAACAAAGTAGTATGTATTTGCAGTGTAACCATGAAACTAAATGCCTTAATATGACTCCCAAAATATCGATTATGAAGAATTTTTTTGAACTCCGTAATTTATGATGATTACAATCACATTAGTTTCAAAATCGGACAATATTTAGGGCATTATCAACCCTACTTATAAATCTGAATAATTATATTTATTGAGTAAATGATCTTCAACCCAATTCTATTTTTAACTTTAAATCACATTTGGAGTAAGAATACTCATTTATACTATGAATCTTGTTTTCACTTGTGATATTTTACTCTTCAAGTTTGAGTTTGTATATATATAGTTTATTTTATTGTCATATTTTTTTGAAAAAACTTCATAAATGATCCTTGTGGTTTCACGAAGTTTGAAGTTTTGTCCCTAAGTTTCAAAAACCTCACGGATGGTCCCTGTGGTTTCAAAACTTTTAATGTTCAGTCCTTATGCCTCACTCCGTTACCATTTAGCCGTAAACTCAATTTTTAGTATAATACTACAGGGGAAATTTTGTCATTTCACTTGTAACCCTCACTCTTTAAAATAAAGAGTGCATGCTCGATTTTTTTTGGAAAACCCTTTACCCGTGATCATCTTCTCTCTTCTCTCTTCTACTGTTCGTCTAATTTTGCACCCTCGAGAAGATCCAAGCGATTTGCATCCAAAGATGGTGACTTGTAGATGTGGGAATGAAGCAACGAAGGTCACTTCGTGGACGAATCGTAACCATGAAAGGCAATTTTGGAATTGTTCAAGATGTGTGTTCCTTTGATGGGCTGACCCTCCGATGTGTTCTAGGGCATTGGTGGTGATTCCACGTTTGATAAGATTAATGAATAGATGTGAATTCATGAAATTTTTAACATCAATCTTTGTTTTGAATACCCGACCCACCCTAAATTCTTTTACATGAACCTCCCCATGTTAGCATGTAGTTGACTTACTTAACTCCTTAAGTATTCTCTTCCTATCATCTTTATGAAATCCTGCAAACCGATAATCATCAGTAGAAATAACTTCCAACTCTTTATCAAGCATGTCATTCCCTGCAAACCGGCAATCACATGTTGTCTGATTGTTTAAAATTCCATGTTTATCTACATCGACAACACTATGGAATTCACTCATGTCTACATCAACATCAAATTGTATGTTAGTCTCATCCACATTGTAGTCACTGTCATCTGAATCATCTCCACTACCCTCAAAATTATCTCCACTCTTAGAATAGAAAGCCTCTCCATTATCATCACTCACCATACCCTCTAGAATATCCATTCCTGGTTGAGGTTCACAATCTTTTTCGACATTATACTCAGCAAAAAGTGAATAATCCTCTAAAAATTGTTCAAATTCATCAACTCTTATAGTATGGGCTCCATCATCAACTTGACAACTTGGTTCCTCTACATCTTAGAGGTTGCACTCAACATGGTAACTTCCCACTAGTTCTTCAGTTTCAACTTCATGATTGATCACATCCTCTTGAGTTTTAATTCCATGATTGATCACTTCCTCCTGAGTTTCAATTCATGATTCACCACATCAATGACATTACTTTGTTGGCTAACGTGTGACCTTATATATGACACAACAGTCTTTGAGTAATCATACCCTTCATCCATATATAATACTTGTGACTGCTCAAAAACAGGGTTCATATGTTGCTTTAAATCAAGCTTTCTACTACATGATCCTGCTTCTCTCATACAAGGTTTCTTTCTATTTATTTCAGGTGACACACTCTTAGGTTCTAACTCCTCAATAATAACTTTAGAATGAGACTTAAAATAGGTAGGTACCTTAGTTTGACCATTTTCAATATACACCCTTATAAGTTATAAGTATGTGTTTAGGGGCATACAAAACCATTTTAAGTATATCGTGGTCATTACCTAAAGGCATTACGCCATAGTCTAAGGGGTATTTAGGGATACATAAATGGTAGTAAAGGGTCTGCTCAATTTTGTACCCTAATTCTCGAACCATGTCATCAAGTTCATGAACTGAAAATAAATCAGTGTCAACATCATCTACGTATGCTACGTTACCATCAATGTATTTCCTTCCAGGTGCCTTGGTGAAGATACCACTGTAGTATATCTTCAACGAGAAATAATTGTCATATCCTTCTGCAAACACAAAAGAAGAAAGGGTAAAGTGAATGATTTCTCTTCATGAACACAATCAACGAAAAACATAAGTTTTCTGTAGGATCATACAATATCTTTTTGGCAAGTCCTTCAAAGTCGAATATTCTCCTCGCAAACACCATATTGACATAACCATTGTGATTCCTTCTACTTAAACCCTAAATCCCAATTTCTATTCTTGTTTGTGCGATGAACTGAAGTGAAGCTAGTTATGTTCTTGGGAGAGGGACGAGTTGTGGAGTCGACATGCAAACAATTGGTACTGAACATAATCATTTCCCTCTTAAAGAGTGAAGGTTACAAGTGAAATGACAAAATTGCCCCTGCAATATTATATTAAAAATTGAGTTAACGGTTAAATGGTAACGAAGTGAGACATAAGGACCGAACATTAAAAGTTTTGAAACCATAGGGACCATCCGTGAGGTTTTGAAACTTAGGGACAAAACTTCATATTTCATGAAACCACATGGACCATTTATGAAGTTTTTTCTATTTTATATGTGAAATTACTTCAAATGTTTGGTTATATTTATTTAACTATATAAATTTTAGAGTTATTATAACAAAAAGTTTTTTTTGTCAAATATGTAAAAACTTGTAAATTGAAGGGGTATTTATAAAATCTAAAAAAGTTCGAGAAAAAAAAATATTTGGAATATTCATTTTTTGTGTGTGTGTGTGTGTGTGTGTGTGTGTGAAAAACGGAATGGAAAATAAAATACAGCTAGAGATTAATCACTATTAACTCTATTTTTTTATTTTAAAGGTAGAATAGCGATAGACTATGGTTGGAAGGTTTTAGGTTTATGAATTTATGATTTATTAAAAGACAATCATGCGAGTATTGACTTTTTTGACATGTAAGTCTCACAATTATCGTCATTTAGCCACAAAAGTCTAATTGTACTAAATACGCCATTAAAGTCACGATAACAAACTAGCTACAACCGAAACAACAACAAAAAAGATTTGAATGATTTACATAATACCAGACTTCAATGGACATGATAAAATTCATGCTTTATTGTGTGTGCTTCATCGACTATATTCGACTTTTAAGGTCAAAAACACTATTTTCGTTTCATTTCGTTTCAAGGGAGTGTGAAACGCGTTTATAAAAATTACAACATAACATAACGTTACAAGATATATCTATTATATAATTATCATACACAATTGAATAATTATCAATTGCGAGTTCCAACATTTGTTTCTTCTCCCTTCTAATGTTGTTCACCATTTATCTTACCCTTGTGATCATGTTCATCAGCAAACCCATTTTGGTTCTCTATCTTATGAAACTCAGTTTCTATCGTTTGAACAATCTTACAGTCCATTAGATCAGGTTCAGGGAACTCCACATGAAAAGATCCTTGCTTGAGTGGGGCCCGCGGTTTTAGACCAGCAGCTTGTTGGTTTATGTAGTTATACAGCTGCTGGTGGAACCCATGGTCCAATGAGAAACAAGAATCATCATCACCATTGCTGTTGTTTCTTGCAAGCTTTGATGATCCAGACCCTTGTCTTCTACAAAAATGGGGTAGAGATTCGTAATCCATTATCTGCTCATTTCAAGTAAAACATATACATCAGGGACTCATTCCAACATGGAAATGGAATGTAATGATCTATTCCATTCCATCATAACAAACAGACACACTTAAAGTACCTTCAAGAGTTCATCTTTCCCACAACCCGAAAGCACCTGGACCTTCTTTCTTGTTCTTTCTTGCAGGAGTGGCTTCACAACCTGCAAAGATTCAAACTTTATGATTCGGGTGTAGAAAAGAATCTGAAATCTTTCATCAAAAGTTAAGAGAAATGACAAACCTTCCAGCAAGCTGAAAATACATATGGTGCATTCACTATATAGTAAGTATCTGTCTTCTCTGGGTAGTTTAAGTCATCGATGCTAGATATAACAGTTAATAACTGCAACAAATTTGATGAAAATGCATTAACATAATACTTATAATTAGTTTCATAAACTGACTACTGTAGTACTGATTTAATAGAGTAAGTAGCAATGTAGCATACCTTGATTTGATTGAGATGGGAAAGTTTGAGCCCAGTCATATCAAGAACCTTGACACATGTGCTTATGTGTCGTTCAAAATTTTTTGTTGCAGATGGCTAAAATGTAAGGGGAGTTGCTTAATGCTTATTTGAAAAGATGATGGAAATTTTATGTGGTTGAAACTTGAAAGTATTATTGTGATATGAACTTACCAAAATTATGCGGTCTCTGTATTCGTTTATCTGGATGTGTGATTGAACATAGCAATGAATCTAGAATAGAAGAGAAAAATACCATGAAACAAAAGGGTATTTGGATGTGAACTTTTGTAGTGCTTATTACAATTTGAAGAATCAGAATCAGAAGATATGGAATGCTTACAGATGCTTTGTCATATGTGCTAAGCCCTACACCAACAGCAATAACAGGTCGCCCCTGGATAGTTTATCAAGAAACCAGAGAACCATAAATATGGAAGCAAATGAAACCAGAATAGTATTAGTTGGGTGAAAAACGCATACATCTTTTGTGTAACCCGACATGCCTATAAGCTGGGATTCACGCACTGATCTATAAAGTTCAACAGGAACGATTGGTTTCTGGGTTTATAAGCAGAAAGTTAGCAATGATGATTACATGAAAAACTGTAAATATTTCATGAACAAAACTCACCGACAATATTTTGTCGATCTGGTTTTCAATCCTCCAATTTAGACAATCAACAAGCTGAAAAGCTAACATGCATCAGCAGGCATGTAATGTGATAATGAGTTTTAAGTTTCAACGAGAATGAGTTTGATTTTAACCATTTTATGAGCTTTGGAGATGTTTCCGTCTCGTGCTTTAAGAAACCGAACAATAGTCTCAGTTGGATATCCTTGATGCAAATTCTGAAAATGAAGATCAAATTAGAGCAGTAATTATAATTAATTTAAGAGAGACCATACGAATTTGAAGTTTATACACGCTTTGGTGTATTGAGATTTGAAGAAAATGGTTCGTTTGACGAAAAGATTCAAACGCTGACTTCGATTTGAATTTAGCGATTCAGATCAGGAAAAATGATCGAAAATTATAAAAGGGGATCGCGGTTGAGTCGGTAAATATTAGAAACTATACTAACAACAGATCCAAACAGCTAAGTAGAGCAGAAATCGAACCTCGTATATGATCTTGATAGGTTCGTCAACTGCGGAAACAAATTAGAGTGTAAATCACCGGAAAAAATCAAATCAAAGAGAAATGTGAGGGTTTTAGAAAGAGAGAGAGAAATACTAACATGCTTCTATCAGATTCTGGAATTGCTTTATCATATCCTGGGTTATGATCACCATTTTCCTCTTTCTGCGACAATCAATCTGCTCTTAAGAAACCAAACCCAGTTTACCAAACTTCAATTTTCATAAATTTGTTCTAACCATTCATCCACCTGAGAGAGAGAGAGAGAGAGAGAGAGAGAGAGAGTGGGCGTGAGTCGTGACTATGAAGAGCAGGGAAGTAGTTGGCATGCGTTCGCACATATACTTATGAAATTAATGGCGGAAAATTGAAGCATTTTAACGTTAAAAATGCTGCTATTTTTCTTGACAATTTGTTTAGGCAAGAGTTTGGTGCAATTTTTTTTTTGTCAAAGCTAAAGGGTGACATATACCAGATGTCATTTTTATATTTTTTTATAATTTTTTCTACGAACTAGGTGTAAGTACTGATTTTATTTTTACCTATAAACTTTTTTTTTAATTTCAATAAAAAATAAGAATTTTTAAATAAAAACCATATTAAAATTACAAATAACATAAAATTAAAAATTACATTTTAGAAATCCTAAAAATATAAAATAACATGAAATAAAAAATTACATTAAAAATTTAAAAAAACCATGACGTGAAAAATTAAAAAAACCTATAAAAAAACATAACATTGAAATTTCATTTGCATTTTAGATTATATTGTTCACGAATCGACGTCTTCACCACTTTAGCCGTCTCCATATATTTGGGTCATCTGAGAACAGGTGTATGGATAGGATATATGGATGGGCTTTAGGGTAAGGCCCATGTAAGGGGTTTGGGCCCAAATTGGAAAAATGGGCCATATATTGGGCCTTGATTTATTATTTGGCTTCTGGGCCTCCAGAGTTTAAGTTTGGGCCTTGATTTTGGTCCAAGCTAGGTTAGTGGTAAAATAGTCTCTTTACCCCAAGTATGGAGTTATGGTTATGCATTGGAACCCAATTATTAATTGGGTGTTGTTTTGATGATTGACAGTTTGGGGATCTGTCAGCTAGCAGCTACAACTTTATCTGCAGGACTTCAGCAGTGCGAGGTGAGTCTCCTCATTGGTGTATGGGTCGAAGGCACCAATGCGGGCCCATTTGGTTGATGCATGGTAGGAAGACCCTAGGGTTAGCCCTAGGCATTATGTATGAAAGACCAGGAGGCGGCTCCTGTCACACTGTATGCTATTATGTATGGTAGGAAGACCCGGGGGTTAGCCCTAGGCATTATGTATGAAAGACCATGAGGTGGCTCCTGACATACTGTATGCTAATTGGCTAAGTAGAGTAGTATGTATGCTAGTTGTCTTTGTGATGCTTGCATGGAAGACCATGAGGTGGCTCTTGGCACTTGTCTATAAGACATAGGGGGTGGCCCCTGGCTTGGCAAGAAAGACCATGTGGCGGCCCGTGGCATAATAGCAAGACTATGTATTAACACATAGCATCTTATTTGATTATGATATATGAATGATATGTATGGCTCACGGTTATGTATGGTAGTATTCGGTTGAAAGAGACCGAAGGGGTAGGCCAACACCCGCATATGTTAGGCAATATGTTTATTGTATGGTATGTGGTATTTGGGGAACTCACTAAGCTTCTTGCTTACGGTTTTTAGTTTTGGTTTCAGGTACCTCCAGTTTTCAAGTAAACGAGCTCGGGACGATCACAACGCATATACCCGTGTTTTTCCGCAATGTGTGATTTCTGGGAATGAACTCTAACAAATGTTTTATTTGAAATGCTTGTCTATGTGTGAACAAGGTTACAATAGTGTTTTAGTTATATTAAAAATGAAATTTTTGGTCCTGAATTTTGGGATGTTACAAGTTGGTATCAGAGCCTTGGTTTGAGGGATTCAGGCATACTCTCGGGTGTGCCTGAACTCAAACTGAGGGCTTGATGAAATTCTTATAAAATAAACATTTAATTACAAAAGATATTCTAAGCAAAGAAAGGGGTGTGATGCGTGAAATCGACCGAGCTCAAGTAAGTGGTTCCCAAAATACCAATACATGTTTGTTATGTGCTATGATATGATTATGTGATTCACATGCTAGATTAGAGCTAAGGATCTAGGAGAGATGCCTTTGTATGCTTATATGAGCTTGTAGATTTGCATGCTAGATTGATCAGCCAGTGGTAGGATGGCATGTTTAGGTTATGCCTGATTGTATGAGCCTTCGAATTGCATGCTAGTGCAGATTCCTGATTAGAGGATAGAATGGTTTGATAGAGTATGTTGGTTAGATTTTCCATTGTTTGCATGCTGCTTGCTTTGTGATTTGTGGGACTCTTAGCAATGTGAGCTTGCTGCTAAGTGAACATGCTAAGTCACATGTGACACAGGCTGGATAATCTCAGAGTGATGGACTTGGCCCTATTGCGCAGCTCTCGTTTGAGTCCAACCGTTCTAGGATTGAGTCTTTTACTTGAAGGATTATCTGATCTCTGTTGCATGTGGCTATATTCATGAGGTAGCTAGTTGAAATTAATGGGAATCCTTCAGCAGCTGAGGACTGGGTGGGTTCGGGAACCTAGGAAAGCCTAGGATATGCTGTAGTGGGTTAGTAGTATGGTTTAGTGAGTACTGTCATAATTTTTGAAGAAGTGGCTTAGAGGATTCAGGAGGATTGCTGAAGAAAGTATGGATAGGTGTGGAAGGTAGTATTGGGCCCGTACAACTGAAAGCACGGGATCCATACTCGAATCGGTGAGAGTCTTGGAGAATATAAAAAGCTTATGAGAGGTGGATTCTTTGGGTATGTTCTGATTGTTGGCTTGATTGTATTTCAGTTTGGAGATGAGCTCTCAGGGAGATGGTTCATGTTCGAGTTCCGGCTCAGGTGCAGGTGATGAGTCGATTAGCGAGCAGTTGCGGGGGGTTCATTGTTGGATAAGGTGTCTAAGTCCATAACTATATTTGGTATGTACTTGACCAGGTTTGGCATGGTCCATTTGGGTTGCATGGCATCATAACAATTGGATAGACAAAATATAGAAAAATGACACTTATGATTTGTTAATATATTATAAGTTCTAATATATTAATATGAAATCATATTATTTAATTACTATTGATCAAGAATTAATTTGGAATTAATTTTGTGATAAAAAAAGAGACTAATTAAATATATGGGGATTGATTTGTAAATCATTCATTCTTATATAGTGGGCTTATGGTTCATGATTCACTAGATTAGGCTAGGACCCATTGGGTGCTCCATGGATGCTCCATGGAGGTTATAACCCATGGATCATGGGGGAAATGAAAAGCCATGCACATTAGGGTTTACATGGTGTAACCCTATATGTGACACACTATATAAAGAACCTCATATGGAGCAAAATCGGCACTAAGACTAAAAGGGTGAGGGCTAGCCGATTTTGTGATCAAAGTGTTCTTCTCTCAAGTTATTCCAAGAGTTGTGGTGTTGTATGAAACATTTGAGGCATCACATTTGGGGTGCTAGGCTCACAAGGTCTTAAGGAATCCAAGCTACAAGAAAGGTATGTCATTATACTAGTTTTTATATTACAAGTACCCCATTGCATGCTAGTTAGGATGAGAACCTTGGAAAAATCAAATTTGCATGAATATTAGAGAAAACATAGATCCAAGGTTTCTAGGGTTGCATGTACACCATAGGAGTGTTAGAATGCTCAAAACACATCATTCATTTCATTGGAGATCTCTCGCTTTGTTTCGAGGATAGTAGACGAGCGCTTGGGCGTATTCCGTACGGAGATTATGGCTATCATTGGAGCTCGCACACTGAATTTCCGGGAGTTCCATGCTTGTGGAGATCCTGTGTTCCATGGGGAGAGGGACCCTATTGTTACTAGGAGGTGGTTAACAAATATGGATAACGCATTCAGGACGAGTTTCTACCCCGAGGAGGCGAAGGTCAGATATGTTTCTTGCCTGTTGAAGGATCGAGCATGTAATTGGTGGGAGGAGGTCGGTAGTGAGTCGGGTGATGATACGATTGATGCTATGTCATGGGATGACTTCTCGACCAGTTTCCGAGCCGAGTTTGCACCTATAATTGAGGTGCAGCGGTTGGCGCGAGAGTTTCTGGATCTCCGCCAGACTACTGAGATTGTGGCAGAGATCACTACCAAGTTCCGGGAGAGGGCTTTATTGGTACCGCAGTATGTAGCAGACGAGGAAATGAAGAAAGTGTGGTATCACGATATGCTGCGGGATGACATCAATAAATTCGTGAGTATTTCAGGGTGCGAGACCCTGAATGATATGATATCTAGGGCCCGAGAGTGGGAGATTGACTTAAAGCACATCAGGAATAGGGGGTCAGATCAAGTGCACATATTGGAGGGTCCCGGGAAGAGACCCAAGACTTCCGATCTGTTTTTGAGAGGCCGGCAGGGCCGGATTCAGTACAACACGTGCTAGGAAACTGCACGATGGAGTTTGTCGTTCCAGGGGTTTGGCCTGCTACAAGTATAGCAGGGTTGGTCACGTCAACAGAATTTGTCCTCAGGGGGCAAGTCCGTTGTGTTTTCACTGCGATCAGGTGGGCCACAAGAAGTCCGAATGTCCAACGATGAGGGGAGGAGCAGTGAGCGCGACTGCTCCAGTTACTTTGAGGATCACCGATGGGCGAGAAGGTATGGCAGGAGCCCCAGCAGAGAGGAGTTGACTTTGCAGTGTTAGACGTGGGAGGTCAGGACTCCAGCAGGCGGTATTACAGGTATGTATCTCTTGCCTTCCTTCATATTAGTTATATCAGTATTTATGGTTGTCAAAATCTTACATTGGTTTGGATAAGCATGCATCCGATTCATTTTCTTTGCTCATGTATGAATTATATCTTCGAATATTGTCACATGTCATTTGCATACCATGAATTATTAGTGGTTAGTGTAAGGTCATTTCCCTTTTTTCTTGTTCAAGGTGTTCAACATTATCTCGGCTCGTAATAGAGATCGATTCAGGGGTATTTCGTGAAGGTCTGCGGTTAGGGTCCACAGGATGGTTATTTAGCATCATTAGGATTCTGTGGTTTTAGTAGTTTTCCTTGGAGTGGCTGCTGGAAACGCCAAGGGAAATGGCTTGTTGCTGAGGTACTGGTTGGAGCATCTGTCTTTTGGACTTCAGGATTTGAGTGCGGTATCATTTCAAGCATTAGGGACTGTCGGTTTCACTAGGGTTCAGGAGGTGTTCATCTGGTCTTTAGAAGTTGTGTGGCCTTTTGGGGTTTGTCTATTGATGGAGTACTAGCA